GAGCAAATATATAGAGTTGTTATCAAATGCGTGTTTGTGGAGATTTCCATAGCTTTCTTTTAAATGGTACTGGTCTTTTTTTCTTTTACTTTAGCTTTGAGGTAGATAGAACAGAAGTTCGCTTTGCCGTTTCTTTCGTGTTTCTTGAATGCTTTAGCATAGTCGCTTGTTCTCTTTTTTAAGGTTTTGGCTTCATATAGATTATATAATATGCCGTAGGCGTTTTTCTCTTACACAGCTATTTCATCATCCTCTTCATATTTTATCATTATTATTACAGTAGATGAATTAAGCTTTTGCTTGTTTGTACTTTCTCAGTCTCAGTTTAAATCTGATTTTGTATCGCCTGTTATATAATACATTGGTATCTTGGAAAAAAACGTATGCCTCTTGATTACTCTCCATATTTATGAAAGGGCGTGGAAAAAAATCTTACTAAACGCACCACACTTTTGGGACTTCGCTACATTTTTCTTGGTATCTTTTACGTATCATAAAGACAGTGTACACATTTTATTCGGTATGTTGTCATAGGTAAACTATGTCTATGATTGAATATGTTCAGTTTGCACTTCTAACTGAGTGATAGTCGATTCCATGGCGGTACATACTATTTAATGCTCACAATACATGTAATAACTCTTGAAGTGAAGTGGCACCAGTGACACGCGCACTCTATAACTTCTTTGCGTTCTTATAAAGAACGAACTTCTTTGCCTCACAATTGCTCTTCAGTTGTGGGTTCTCGATTAGTTGAACATCTTCTTACTTCTTTGCATGGTGTGATCCAATTTGCAGTGCTTTTTGCCTCTCTTCTTTGCCTTTTTCTGCTCTTGAGTGAACGTTTCCCAACATGTACGCTCTCTTGTTCTTTTCCTCACTTCAATAATGTTAGACCCATATTTCGTAGAGGGCTCCAGAAAACGTCTTCGAGACTAAACATAACAGGCAAGATAACTGAAAAAATCCCAGCTAGAAATGCAGGTTCCTTAACAGTACAAAAGGCAGCTAAAGGTAACATTTCTGCATTCCTACACTTATTCTGTTTCCCTTTGCTTCTGTTTTATTTCTCTATCGGCGAATGTCCCCATTTCTTTTCAAGCCAGTAATACGGGAGACAGTAGTGCCCGTACAAACATGTTTAAAATGTGTTTGGAAAACCTTACTCAAAAACATAAGTCGTTTTCTTCAGAAGAATTGCGTTCCCCCCAATCCTTCTGTCTGTAGTCATCTCGTGTTCTGTTCATAACTAAACCAAGTGACCAAAACTTGTCATTGGGTTACTCAAACTGCCCGCCCAAGCACAGCAATGAGGTTTCTTCTAACCTTCCCTCTTCTTTTTGTCTGTATTGATGTGTAAAATGGATCTGTAGAAACGTTCTTAGCTGTCTTCATTCTTCCATATGTTGTGCTTCCACTTTCTGAGATTCCGTCAGGATTAAAGTGCTCTTATCAGCACTCTTACGTCTTCCCCAGGCTGCTAGAAGAACTTTTTACTAAACAGTCCACCTGCCAACCTCCTCAAGTTGTTGTAGATTTATTGCAGATTTACGGAAGGTCTGCCTTCCAAGCTTTCTCCAAAAATTTAACAAGAAGGCCACATCCGCTTTGCTAAATAAGTAGTGTTTTCTATTATGTTTAATACTTCATACTTAACTAGTTGGCCATATATCTTAACCTCGTCTTCAATTTGTTCCAAATACTCAGCAAGTGGACTCCATTCACTTTGCCAGGTAGACCAAGGTGTGCTCAGCCAAATGTCTCTGAGAAACTTGCCAAGTAGACCGCACATTGCTTCTCTCGAGTAGCCCCCAATTTTCCCCCGCTTCCCTTTTCAGCAGTGGATTTCAATGAAAACGGCATTTCGACAACCCAGACCACGAGTTCCAGCCAGCAGCAGGTGTCGAGTGTTCGCAGCCCTGTAGGCCACAACAGCGGCCCGGACGGAAGTCTATACGCCACAGTTGCTAAGAAAAGCTCCCAGTCCCAGCCGGCGCCTCCCCCTTATTCCAACACACGTGGCCTGCAAAATGGCCACCATTCTCGCTTAACCAATGGCTCAGTAACTTCTAGTTTTGATTCCGGTTAGTCATCATTGTTGTGAGCATTTCATCATCTGCTTTTGATACAAATTTAATTAAGTATTTTAACATCGTTTGTCTGTCTGTTGTCCTCCTTGTCGTTAAGTGGGTGGCAGTGCAGAACAGTGTTGGTACCGTGTGGTACTTTTCTGGTTTTAATTGTAGCTGTTATGCCAGCTGTCTTAACAAATTTCTTCACTTTTTAAAAAGAAAAATATGAAAAGAGCACGCAATTGGAAAATGTTTCGAGCTTATGTCTTTCCAATCTGAAATGTACATGAGTGATGTATCAAACAAAAAGGCACACATAATTCAGACGTACCTGAAATTCTCCTGACACAGTTTGACTCACATCGATTCAGTTCATTTGGCTAATACTGATACATGTTCAAACGTCAAACGTGTACTTGTTCGTGTACAAACCGACACTTGTGCTGCACACACTTTGCAAGTCTTTCTCTGTGCTGCTAACTCTAACATGTTCAGAACTACTTAGACGTACCGCACGTGTAACCTCTTCGTTTATTTAGAAAGTAACCTGTAACACAGTAACCCCCCACTCTCCCATCTACTCAGTCATGTTGACTCTTTAGCCACCTTGCCGTGGTAATCGTATCTAGATATACTACCACGCACTATTTGTGATAGGAGATGTCTTGGACTGCCTCAACATGCGGAGAGTTTGTCACAAGCGCTTTTAAATTCCTCATTACCATACTCATCTTTTTTATTCTTTCACCTCCAGAAATGTTTTTGTAGAGCTTTCTCTTGCCTGTTTGCATGTGGGTTGTGGTACGTTTTATTCTGTAATGCATTTTGCTTCTTTTTTTTAATTTTACGTGTATTATCTGGCTCCTGCTAATGCCTTAATAGAATGATGTAAAGCTTTGTAATATGCTTCTCTATAACATTTGAAAGGGGCAACACGACCCTTGGGAAAGAATTTCCCAGCCCCATGAAAAGACAAGATTTTTTAAGCAGGAAATGTGTGCTGCTATGGTCACCGGGCAATACGGGAAACAGAAATACCAAGTTCGTCGAAATCCTTCAGAAATACAATTATCAAACCAGCGATTTTTTAAATTTTTTTTTTTTTTTTTGGGGGGGGGGGGGTAGACTGTTCTGTGGTGTAAGGAACGGTGAATGTGTTGCATTCGTTTCTTATGCACCAGGGTTCTTTAAGAGGCGGGACCTCCGAATTCAGCAATGATCTTCGATAACACCAAGCTTCGTAGAAGGTGTAAGAAATGAGAAGGACAAACAAAAAATGTGTACTTTGCGACTTTTTAAAGTGCCCACTGTGCGTGTGGCTGGTCTGTTTACGAGTGTGTGGTCGATGGGTGCACTGGCCTTTGTTTGATTTAATAATTATTATTATGTTTGTTTTTCCTGTTTTTTCTGTCTTGTGTTTCATATGCTAGAGTATTGTCCTAGCTCAAAATCTAAGGGTGGGTGTTTTATGGATGTCACTGGTATGTCTTACGTCTGTTCTAACTGTTCTTTTTTAACGGACATCTCTGTCAAAAGTCTTGCTGTCAAGAGTCTTGCATTCGACCAGCTCAATTAATGCTATACTTGACTACATTGAAGACGTCCGTGGTTCGAATACTGAAACGGGTTTTAGTTGTTCTCGGCGCTCTTTGCGAGCCTTATCTCGGATAGACTCTAATTCGAATGTCCCGCACATCTTGTAGAGTCGGACTGCTTACAACGACGTTAAATGTGCACCATACCTTATCATAAAAGCTGTGTCCTAGCATGGCATGCCAAATCATTGTGTCTGCTTATTTTATCGTCCAACTCCATCTCCTCACTATCAAATCTTATGAAACCAAAGCCAGAACGTCTCAGCTGAGTTTTTCCAATGCTTTCAAGAATGCCTAATGTAGAATGTAAATTCGTTATACTATACTCTTTGAGGATCATTTCTTCTTTTTTAATGGCGTATTAATGGGGCAATCACTCTCAAACATGTTTAATTGTCCTTCTAGGTCTCTAAATTGAGGCTGGGTTCGGCTAGCCCAATCTACGCCTGTTTCAGTCTGTTTTCTTGCATCTTGGTGCTTGCTAAACCTTAGACTCTTTTTAAAAAGCTGTAAAATACAAGCTTTTCTACTTGGGCATTCGAGCAATATTTGCAGTTGGTACTTGTTCTTTTAAATTAGGAGCGAGTAGTGATATCTGTTCAACAGTGCATGCTGTTGTTCTTTCAACTCCGTTGTTGGAGTAGGGTAAATGCAACCCATGTCTACGTGAAAACTAAGCCCAATAGACTGTAAGTTAGATTGTAGTGTGGACAGGTAATGCTCCAACAATTTCAAAAGGCAGACGATTCGGTTTTGTGTACTCTTTTAAAATGAATTTGAAATAAAATGTAAAGCTTCTTTGTGTGTCTGAAAAGATTATATTTCTTTTTCCGTCTTTTGTTAGCAAGAGAAAGCAATTGATACATCGTAGCGTCTGCAGAAATTGTCTTCAAAGATAGATTCAGTTAAACTGTTCACCCTTACCTCGAGGAGGGCTTTATTCATTGACAGGCTGCTACCAAGAAGTCCTCTGCTTGCTATTCATATTTAAACAACAGGGTGGTGGTTGAAGGGTGCCCCTGGCAGCTTTTACGTCTTTCCTTTTCCTCCGTTTATTTTCTGTCTTTATTTTGCCCTGCACTAAATAACTGTTCTCTTTACTGAAGCAAACAAACAGATGAAGAAACAATCAAACAGGACTTTGCATAATTTTTAAATTATATTTCTAATCTTCTTTCTTCCCACCCACACCCGCATTTTGCCCGCCCCCTCGTCACCAGGCTACACAGGTCATAACGCGAGCTTCAACTCGCACTACACAACCTCCGCCGTCAGCAACAACAACACCCACAGCCCGCCATCCTACACGCAGATACAACAACAACAACAGCAGCAGCAGCAGCAACAACAGCAACAGTACAACAGCAGCAGCAGCCAGCAGAGCACACTGAGCAGACGGACCGCCCAGACCCTGGAGGAACGCACCCAGCTAGACGAACTTCTCAGCGACCTCCTCAGCGAGCAGGCCTACGTCTCGCCCACACAGCGCTCTCCTGGCAGTTTCCAGACCGCTGTCCAGTCCCAGCAAGGCCCGTCCTCCCCACCAGGCAGTGGCGGCCCCTCCAGCATGAGTGGCGCCAAGACAGTGACCACCACCACCCGGACCTTCACCTCCTACTCCAGCACGGACGCGCACCGGAACCCGGACAAAGTGCTGATTCAGCGGGCCGAAGTATCCTACAAGGTGCCCGGACAGGGCGAGAAGGTTGACCACTACACCATCGCCGCTGACCCCTCGCAGACGCTGGACACTGGACGGCCGAGTCAGCAACCCCCTTACCATCCCAAGGGGGTCCCGAGCAACGCTTTCTCCTACACTACTTTAGTGGATGGTCACTCTGAGCTGCAGTCCAGCCAACAGGTAGGACATTTTAATTTCCCAACCATACTATAGCGTACGTTTACACCCCAGATACGCCTTTTCAGGAGGAATAGATTTTAGTGCTTTGAAGTAGTCAAGTTCTGAACTTAATATCACCAGATGTGAAAAAAAAATTGAATAATTTCTGTTCCAAGAAAACAAACAAACATAAAAATAAAAGAAAACAACCAAGATTTCGTTGAATTTAGAACAACATTTTTTGAACCGGTTCTTTTGTTTTTATTCATGTATGCAAAACAAATCGAAACTTCCAGAATTAGTTCGTGCCCCTCGGGTGTTTTCCGTTTTCTTTTACTCAGCTTTTGTACTGTAGCCAACTAGTCATACCCTCGTGTCTACCTCTATGCATGTGATTACATAGTCCAATGAAACGTGTTATTCTTTACTCATGTAATTTTTCACATATTACATAATAATATACAATGTATCTATTCATCAATAAAAATTAAAAAATCAAATATTAATGTAACGTCTTCTTCTTTGCAGTAAAATTGCATTGTTATTCAATTATTTACCCAAGCCTTCCCAGGAAAATAAATACAACTAACGTTCATAGATTTTAATTGTCTATTCCTTTTAGACCAGTTTGATTCATTTTACTAGATAAATTCAAAATGGCTTTTGAAATATCTATATAAATGCATACCCCCCCCCCCCCCCCCCACCATTATCATTATGAAACTTAACATGTTGTAATAGAAAGTATCCTCCTCTTGTCATGACACGTCTTCTCTCCTAATGCTTTGGCTGTGGGTCTGATCACGACTAGGGATCCCCTGGCGTTAACAATGCTACCACTTTCCTTCTGAGTCTATTCTCTCCTCACTTCGTGTATTTCTCTCACTTGGGAACGACTGCATTTGCATAGTATTGCCCTTCTTGTTCCCACAAATTGAAGGATTTCATAAACATTACTCTCTTTAAACTTCAAGAGATGTTTGTATTGTAAGTTTTAAAAATCGCTCGATATTTGTCCTCGAATTGTATGGCTTAGCAGTAAAGGAAATGCTTTTTACCACATTGTGCTTTGTCGAAAATGTAGAAAGTCTTTTCATTGCATTATCCTCTTTTCCTTTCGAAAGCTGTTGTTGATTGTTTGCTAGAAAAAGTGCTAAATTTCCACTATCATTTTGTGAATTTGGATCCAAACTTGTGAACAGGGCAATACCTTGCAGACGTCTGGTATACTTTCCCTAATTAATTGCTGTGCATATAAAAAAAAGAAGTAATTAGTAATGTAACATACCACATTGAAAGTTTAAAACAAAACACCACTGTAAGCCGGAGGTGGGGGACGTGCCATCTTGTCGTGTTGAGAGAAGGAGAGTTGCTTGCCTCCTCCCACACTACTTCACGTGACTCTTGTGTGCCTGTCGCCAGAGGTCGGAAGTGATGGAACACGAGAACATGCGCAGTGCCAGTTCAGCTCCTGTCCAATCGCCGCCGCCTTCTCGGCTGCCCTACCGGCCGGACTATAACGATGGGAGTCGCTACGACACCACCTCCTCCTCCTTCTCCTACTCCTCCCTGGACGGCGAGAGTAACTCCTGGCTGCAGCAGCAGCAGCAGAAGCTGAAGAACTTCAAGGAGGGACGGGACTCCACAGGCCGCACCGAGCAGGAGAAGCGACTGGTGAATGAGCTAAGATTTGCGCAGAATAAATATTACACCCGACGCACTCAAAATGAGGAGGATGAGAGGGTACGATAGAGCATGGAACTTTTAATCATTTTAATACTTTTCTTTCTACTTGTTTTATAATTATTCTTTTTTTTTTACTAGTGGGTCTTCAGTTTTACAGCGGCATTTGGAAATTTGAATAAAGTCAGGATAGACTGTCATCTTTACAGAGAAGGGGAAATGAGAAAAAAGAATTTCCAGTTTTGCTGTTTGTTCCTTTCGAGTTTTCAAGATATCCTCTCAGTGACGATCTCCCATTTTGAACTTTGCGGTCAGTCAGTTGTTTGGTGTAGATGTCGTCTCGCCCCAAGTGCCAGCATGAAGTATCGGTGGTATCAACCTGGTCGTTCTCCCGCTTGCTGTCTTAGAGGTCTGTATTCTGCATGAAGCCTTAGTGTCCAGGCAGACAGATAGCCAGTCGTCAGCAGTGTCTGCAAGAATCGGAAAAGAGAAGTGACAATCTTTTCTTCCCCTCCCGTAGTAATCAGTAGGAGACGTCCAGGAACTCTCTAACTCACTAAAAGTTCTATCACGTGTATGTTGTGGTCATGACGTCACTCTAACATCAGCACCAGTTATGTTGTTCAACAACTTGTTGTGTGTCTTTGCAATTCAGTGGATGGTCCCATTGTGTCCTCGCAAGTCTACTTCCAATTCCTCACTCCCTGGTTGTTTTTGTTTTTTATTGTGTTTTTGGTGTGTGATTTTTTTTTATTCATGTTTTCTTTCTTTATTTATTTGCTTATTTTTTATTTATTTATTTATTCATTCATGTACTCATTTTCATTTATAGTTTGTTGGTGTATGTATTATTTTCGAAACTATACGTTTTTAATGTATATTTTCAGCTGTTATTTTTGTTCGGGTTAATTCGTCTATGATTCTTTCTGTCCCTTCAGAGAGCAGTGAGTGTAGTCTGTGTTCTATGTTGAGGCAGCTTTCCCTTCTGTTGTTGCTCGAGTGTTCTTGTCGGTAGCCAATCCACAGACCTGTGCCTGTGACAGAATCCAGATTAGATTTAGTACATTTTTTATGTGTGCACGTAGACCCCTAGTGTTTTTGTTTGTTTATTTGGTGGGTAGGGTTTGAGTTGTTTGTTTGCTGTTTTGGCCTCGGCAGACTTTGAGGTTTTTAGTGCTTCCTTTTTGTTTGGGTTGTTTGAGTTTTATAGTCAGTTTTGTTTTCTTTTGGTTTTGGTTTTTGATTTTTCTTTAGTTGAAGCCGTTTTGCATGAGTTGGGTCGTCGTTGAATTGGAATCTGAAATGTTATTAATTATTTCTTTAAGGGGATTTTAAAAGTGTATCCCCAGATAATTCAATTTTAAAAATAGGTGAACAAATTAGAGGTTAGGGGAGACAGATTTCTTAGAATGTCTCTTGCCGAACTTCAATATTTGTTAAAATAGACAAAGAAAATTCCCTTTGAACTTACTTGGGTAACTAAAAAAATAATATTTTTGTTCAAAGATTTTCTTCCGTTTCTCAATCTTTCGCCAGTGTCGGTGGTATGATAATATCGAATTAAGAACTCGCTTTTTTGTTCTGCCAACTGAAAGTTTACTGGAAATCTGATAAACCACTCTATTTCTTAGTGTAGGCTATAAAATGTCATTTCTTGTCTTTCTTTTTCGTGTTGTAAAATCAAATGATCCCCCCTTGAATTGAGCTTTAGCAGCAACATATACATTCATGGTTATTTCCCCTGAATCTGCGTGTCCTGCCCCTGCGTAAGTTGTCTTTCGTTATGACCTCTGACCTGTACCCTTCCACTCTTTGGCCATGACCTCTTACCTGTACCCTCCCACTATGTCTGCTCCCCCCCGCCCGCCACCCCCAGGCTGTCATGGACTCGTACAACCGTCAGAACTTGCTGCAGAACGGGCCCACCTCCCCAAATAGGGCTGTCCAGTCGTACGCCCCTCCTCCCCCTCAGAGGTCTCACAGCACCTCGGCAGTGGACGGGCCCTGGACGCCCCAGGACCAGCAGCAGTACAATACCTACAGCAGTAGCTCGTACACCGAGTCGCGGAGTTACGGCGACAAGCGGTCCAACAAACCGCCACCCTCGCCCACAATGCAGAGGTCCTTGCCTCCTGCCTCCGTACAGCCGCCTGCTCCCGTCCCGGCTCGCTCGAGCAGCAAGGAGTACATGCGAACGAGATCCAACAGCAGCAGCAGCTCTTGGCAACAACAGCAACAGCAACAGCAGCAGCAGCAGCAGCAGCAGGTGTTCGCACAGCGGCCGTTGCAGAGACAGACAAGCGACACGTTGTACGATAGGAATCGTGAAGTAGAGCACGTGCAGCCTCGCTCCTATGGCTCTGTCCACAGCACGCCCCCGCACTCTCCGAGAGCCATCTCGCCCGCGGTAAGTTCCTCACACACCACACACACTCACACACACACAAACACACACTCAAACACATACGCGCGCGTGCACACACTTACACGTACCAACGCACACGCACATGCGCGCGTGCGAAACAACAAGAACACACATGCGTCGTGCACGCACATATCACGGTGAGCATAAATTATCAGGTCCCTCGTTTCAATTCAAACATTGTGTTGCTTTTTTCCTTCATTTTTGATAGTATTGAAGCACTATGCATGTCAAAGTCATCCAAGTTAAAAAGGAAGGCATAAGAGAAACAATCTATCATGCACGATAGATCAACATTCAGTCTTGCAATACATGAACTATTTTCCGGGGAATCTTAAAATCTCTACCAAACACTAGGGGCTACCTTTATGCTTACCCTGAATGTGCAGAACGCACAAACATGTCTGTTAACAACACATATGTGCTCACTCATTCACACATGTGCACAGACTCACAAACAAGCACATCAATGTCGTAAAAAAAAGTCATTCTGTCTAACGCTTATTTACTATTCTGGGACCTGGAGCTTCAACTTTTAATCCATGTATTCTCGCATTTATCTGCTTGGGACTCTTTTGGTTCTGTATTGTAGTCTATGAGCGTATGTTGAAACTGTGCCTAATCTACCAACAAGATTCAATGGACTTTCGAGCTTCGAAAGTCTTGTTATTTCATTTCTTTCTCAAATGCGTTGGATTTGTTCGTTGTGCTTTTTGTCTAGATTATTCTCTTTTGATCGTTTCTTTGTGCCTCTTTTTCTTTTTCTCGGATACCACATTCTTTTTATCAGCAGGGAGAAATGTTTAACCACGTAAAAGCCCCATCAGCATGATCCTTTTGAGATGGAATGTTCTGAGGACTTGAGTGAACATCGAATAAATAAAGATGTTCAAACAGTTTTAACTGAGTAGCACATATTATCTGTGTACTTTTAGATCGCTTTAACATTGTTTTCATCACCATGTATCCAATTGTACAATATATATACTCATGGTTTAGAACCTTTAGTAGATTGAGCAGCTTCTTAATTGTTATAACCATAGCTCCAGATTTCTCTTCCCTAATCCACACCCCCCCCCCCCCCCCCCCCCCCCCCCCCCCCCCCGTCCTAAACTCCACGATGGATTTCACCCTCAGACTATAGTGATTGAATAGAGTTGTGTTATCTACACCAAAAGATTCATATTATCCAAAGAGTGAGCACCTCCTCGTTTAAGGTTCACCCATAGATAACCCGTAGGTGTACTCACTTGGAGCATCATGGACTGTGTGTATATATACATTAGACTAATCGATATAGATTTATAGTTTCCGACATTTTTCCACAACGTGTGGATATTATAACCAGTCCTCACAGAACGTTGCTCGTCCCTGAGCAAAGTTACTTTTCCAAATTTGATAAGCCTAGTTAAACCACAATATAAGCTACTCTTTTTCATTGAAGAGTGTCTATCGAATCTACGGTACACATACGTGTATGAAGAAGCACCAGGTTTGTCCCTACGATAAAGTCGGACATTTTACGCGAGGGCACTTGATGGGTCCCGATGACCCTTGTCCGATTCCGTTAAAAGTGTATGATATAGTCAACAGGTGAATTGCAGTGTTTTTGTTGTCCCCATTCTCTTCCTTCCACAGAGAAAATTAGATCAGCCATCGCATCGTTTTCATTCAGTCTTCGGATTTTCTACTGTATATTATTTATGACTTGGCAGTTTCCGTCTTGCCTTGTCGTGACCTGAGAACTATGAGGATTTGTCTCCCACACAGATGCTCTGAAATTGTTATTTTGACTGGCTCTTCGCTGCAAGTTGACAACTTATTGGCTGCACTCCACCAGGAGAATCAGATAATAATTACGTGGACCTTAAGTAAATGGAACAGACAAAACCAAAGTGTCCGCCTGTCACCCGCTGTAGATTTGTCGTTGGTACAGTCTGGGTCTTCTACAAGTGGGCAGGATAACAGCTATTTCCTCTACTAAGAGTTGGCAGGATAACTGTTATTTCCTCCTGGCACCGTCTCGCGGCAATACAATGTGTAGAGGGATCAAACAGCAATAAATTGTCTGCCAACCACTCACTTTTTAGGGAGATAAATCCCCATAGTTGTCCGGTCACGTTGAAGGATGATATTTAATGCACTGAATCGTTCTTACGCTACCTCGCCTTCGAAATGGTAAACAGATGTCCTGTAACGCGTTTAGTCTACCACAGACAAACAGAGAGATAATAATAGAAAGTCTTCAAAATTGTCGTGGGACCAAGAGCCGGCTTCAAGCCAAGGGCGGTAACTATCTCCCTCCACAGGGCCCCACCAGCACTACAACATACACCACCTACCGCACGTTGGACAGACCACCCCAGGAACAGATGCAACAGGTGCAGAGAGCCCCGCCCCAACAGCAAGCTCCGCCCCCTCAACCTCCACCTCCGCCACCCCCGACACAGGTCAACCACCATTACATCACAGAGGTCTTTGTTCACAGGACAGGTGAGACAGGAGAAGATCCTCGTCCGTCTTGCGGTATAGAGAGAAGCCAACTTTGGGGGCAATATAAGAAATGAATGTTTTGATGAGGCCATTGATCAAGATCCATTGCCTCCGAGAGAGAAACCATAGCTGCGAATACTGGTAGAAATAGGAAGTCGTAAATGAAATATTGTTTCTTTGCTGCTTCTAGAGCAAGACTCTAAGAAGATAAGCATATTTCATTAGTTGTTTACGCAGATGGGAAAACGCTGGTTCTATCGTTCTGGCGGAAAGAAATAACACAAGAAGGGGCAGGGCCTTGATGTCGTAAATCCAAAATGTCCAAACCTGTCGGCCTACTCGGAACATTCAGTATAATGGATTGTTTATACAGGAATCTCCAAGACCAATTATTAACTCTGAGAAATAGTTTTGTTTGTTGTGTTTTCTCAATTCGAGCCAGTCTTGGGCGTCTTTTAAGGTGTTCATGCCAAGAAGCAACGAAAACATTTTATTTTAGAAAATAATTAACTATTAAATATCGCTGATAGTTTACGATGTCTAAAAGTCTATCCTTGATAGTTCTGATGCCATAAACATGAATAAATACAACGCCCGTAAATCTGTCTAAGATAGAACTACAATATCGATCCATGGTAGGTAAAAGATGCAAACATATATCAGTAATATACCTGAGTTGCCCGAAAAAACAACAAATAAACATCTATGATAGTTACGTGAGCACACCTCCATTCCCATGGTCCCGGGCGCCCAGATCTGAACAAGGACAAGACGGACAGCACATCCACACGTCTGGACGAGTTGGAGAAGAATCTGGAGGCAGCTTCCCAGTCCATCCTGGCTACCCAGCAAGCCCCGCCCCCACAGCCACGCCAGCAGGTGGTGGAGGAGACTGTCCAACAGTCGCGCTCCGAGTCGCGACAGTTCCAGACCTTCGCTGAGACCGTGAGTAGTGTGCAGTCTGTCTCGACTTCGGTTTCGTCGCACCATGCAGAGAGACGCATGCGCACTAACGGCCGTGTTTCCCCGCCTATGTGGGATAATGTCAGTGTATGTATTTTGAGTTGCTAACCCCCAAGTTGCCATGTTCGCCTGTGTCACAAGCAGTCCAGAATTTTTAACAGCCTTGTTTTACTGAAAATCCAAAACTGTTGCTGGAAAAAAAACAAAAAAACTCAACCTTGTAAGACATACCACCATTGCAAAAAATAAGAATTTTCTATTTGAAGTGTTCATGGACATTCTATAAGGTCCATATCTTCATCGTGGCTTTAAAATGCGTGTTTGCCTGTTTCAAACCTGCGGATGTGAGCGTGTGTGACACCGGTGTGGCATTGGTTTAGTTTTATGCACCTGTAGAAGATGAGGAGTAAGCCCATTTGTAACAAGGGGAGGTAATTGTGATATACTTAACTTATTCAGTATTATCCCCCTTTTCGAATCCGAAGTGAAATTTCCTTCTTTCAACTTCTCGTTTCTTTGTTTTTTAATTACCGGTACACAAAAGTCAAAGCTGAACAGAAGGCTACTCCTTCTTCTACGTGCGTATTCAGTAAGGGGATGGACAGATGTGGACACTTACTTCTAAGTATAATTTTTTTTTGTGGGGACGCCAAAATACACTTGTGCAAATTTTTGCAAACGATACGATGCCAAGGTTCTGTTTTGGGTGTGTTGTGTGTGCGCGCGCGCACATCAGTAAAGAATGAGAAAGAGAAATCTGTAGGAGACGACCAATAATAACACATTTTGGGATTTTAATTTAAATATTGTATGATGTTCCATATCTGACCATACCCTAGATCTATGCTACAACTTTTTTTTTTCATTTTTTCGTATGTTTTTTTTTTTTTTCAATTGTTAGTTTCCAGTGGCATACTTTTCAAGACATTTAATTATTTTATAGGATACAAAGGTATTGTCAGAGATGGGTTTTTGTGGGGTTTTAAAAAAAATTAAGGTAGAGTAGGAAAATAAATGATTTTGGCTTGTTTCAATGTGCCCACAGCTATGTCTAACATGGTCACTTAAAGCGAGAATTGTGGACGTAAATGACGGGATTAAATAAGTAGACAGCTACTAGAAATAGTGAGACGTCAATAAATCTAATGTTCTGAAATGTTAATTCAAACGAGATTCTGACTTTTTAAAAGAATTTGTGCGTTTACCGTTATGTCTCATCTTTCAAAGTTATTCCTCCGGAACTTACCGTAAACTAACAAATTTAAACATGCCGCGAAAAGTAGGTCACTGTGATTATTTTGCAACCACGATTAACCAATGTTGTTTTCTGAACGCTAGAATCTTTGATTTTGATTTTGAGCTTATAATATACTGTTCGAGTGTTTGTTTATTTTTCATTTTGCGTGTCTTTAAAGGTTTGCTTGTACATTTTGATACATAATCATAACATTTGATGTTTCAATGCATTTTGCTCAGCCTGGCTCTCTATAATTGGCTTTGTCGTTTTTCTGGTTTGGCGTTGTGTGATTGCTGTCTCGTTTCCTTTTTTATCTAAATGTTAGAACTTTCTTTTCTTTTATTGTTTTCTGTGTGGAAGACTGCATTCAGAGTTTTCATTTTGCTTCTTTTTTGTGTGCTATACATATACCACATACATGTTTAATGTATGCATGTGTGTGTGTGTGTGTATGTATGTGTGGGTGCGTTTGCTTGTGTGTCTGTGAGTGTTTGTGCCCTCCTTGCCCCCCCC